GCAAATATTTATATGAAGAATATAGCTGCAAATCACACCCTCAGATAACCAGTCTTCCTCTTATGTTTAAAGAATTCTGGCAAGTGTTCTCTGAATTGCCTCCTGAATAAAATCCTGAAGTGTATTAAAGTGGCACACGAGCCTCCTAACTTTTGTGGAATCCAGCATGAGCTTTTAAACCATCACATTTAGAATACACTGGACAAAGCTAAACAACAGGCTGACAACAGCAATTGCAACTACTAGTCCTCATTTACATTAGACATTTTATATCACTGAAGCAATGACAGCAAAATAAACAATGGTACAAATCATATTAGCAGGTTTGTTAGACTCCAAAGCCTGAAAAAAAAAAAAAAACAAAGAAAACCCCCACAATAGATCAAGTCACTCTTCTCCTTGATAACCAAAGTGTATTATAATCAAAGTTACCAGAAGATACTAATAAATTCTTACAGTACAAAACATTTTTAAGAAGAATTGATTCTGTAAAGAGTAAAAACTAGAGATTTAAGTCATAATAAGGATGATTCATAAACTTAGTCTCTTAAAACACTTTTCATACTTCCCATAACAATGGGAGCACATGTATTTTAGCACTGAAAAGAAAAAAGTAGAAATAAAAGCAGTCCAAGTTTTTAATATAGTCAACTATTAATATCTCCTGATCTCTAAAAAATATCCAGAATACAGTCAAATTTTAAAAATGTCTCACACAAAGTATTATAAGTCTTTAAAAATCTTTAAACTTTCATAAGAACATTTCCTTTTAAAAATAAAAAATAGAGTACTGTAGAGGTGCCAGATATAGCTCCATAGTGAAGGCTCACTATTTAATGCATGATTCATCATGTTTTTTAGCCATAGGAATTTTCACAGTGCCTTACGATATAACACAAACTTAAGAGTTTACAAATAAATCTACTCTAGTTTAAGTTCTCATTCAAGAAGGAGAAAATAAAAATTTGCAATATTGAACCCTTCAAATACTCTATGTATTTATCATCTGAAGCCTTTTATGTTTTCATACTGAATTACTCGTTCAACTATTTGACTCACACGGATGTTCCAAATTCTTCTGCCTCTGGAGCCTTGCAGCCCATTGCTACGCTGATTTCTGGGCTGTACATGCCTTTCTGCATGTATACATACATATATATACATACAACCTACCACGCATTCATTCATGGAATGTCTCAAAAATTCCCTTCAAGATCACAGTTCTGCTTCTCTCTGCCTCTCACTGGGCAAAGCAGGTAGTGCGCATACCTGAGAAGTCACATACTCTGAAGGTTAAGGATCCTTCGATCCTCATTTTATTTCTTTCCCCCAAAAACAAGAACTAGGACAGAAGTCAAGAGAAGGTGGTACAAAATCTCATTCGTAACCGTCTTACCTGCCTGCATCGCAGTTTTTTCCTTCTCTGCCCATATCCCTCCCTATCGCACAAAAACTCTAATAGGCTTTATATTTACCATTGTTCCATTCCACATCATTACCAGTAAATAGAAAATGTGAAGAGGCAATGCCATACTTTTTTCACTGTAAATAATACAAAACTTCTTAGGTCTCCAAAAAGAAGTTATACAAACTCTAAGGTTAGACTTCAAAAAATAAAACTTTTTCCTTTACAAGGTTCCAGAAATAGGTGCTGCAGAAAGCTTCTTTTTCTTAGTATTTTCACTGGAGCTTCAGTGAGAAGCAGAGACAGACACCACTTCCTACCATTTGCTCTTTGGGGTATTTTTTTCTTCTACTTCCTGAGAACATAAGACGATTCCACTTTCCCCAAAAACTCATTTCCCTCCCGAAGTGAGAAAAGATGGTGACTCTTCTAAAGTGGCTGAATTACAAGGTTTCTGCTGAGGAAAAAATGGTTTGTGTGACAGGAGAAGGGGGAACAGGGGGAAGTTGATATATATATATATTAGGAGAAAATCATTCTTAACTGAAATGTGCCCTGGAAATCACTGCTGTGTCTAATCTGCAAAATAATCAACTGAAGGAACAACCATTGAAGCACACGCATACATTACAGCTTCCCCAGCAGCAGGGGGACATTCTTATTCTTTGCATCATGAAAATAAAATATATATACACACACACTCAGAGCAGTGCCCAGTATCTATAATACAGGAGATCACATGGCATCTCACAGAAACACTCCAGTATTATGCACCACAGCTCCTTCCCTATCACAAGCCTGATCTGCATGCCTATGAAATGATGTTTTTTCATTAATTGCTTTCTGGTCATGCAACATGGGACTTTCAGGGCCCAGAATATGAGATATAGAGGCAAAATAAAGATTTACCCTACATATCAAAGCCAGCACTGTAATTTCAAAGTTTAAAAGAAGTCAAACCATGGTATGACAGGGTTAACAATCAGCTCTGAGCTGTGTAGAAATAGCACTGCACTGCATATGCTCTAACTGTGCATCTTCATATGCCGCAATACTTGCTTGAAGGTAACAACAATCGTGTTCCATTCTTGAAAACACTCATTTCATCTTAATTTCAAGTTTTATAGTATGTTTATTACTTGACAGTAATCAATGCCTGTGTGTAACTTATTTAATATTTTTAGAGAGATTCCAAGACCCAAGTAATTGCAAATGTGAAGTATAACTGTAGGTTCACCTGCATTAACTAAATTATTTGAATATACAATTTTTGTACCCTTGAGCTTGTTATCAAGAGGTTCAAGCAACAACTTTCACACTATGAAAATGAGACACTCTTTTCTCAAAGAAGCCACTATTTTCTACCACAATAGTACATTCTTTCAAAGCACTGTGGAGACTGACCTCTTTTTCATCTGTCAACTGACAGCTACTTTCGATATGTAATTCTAAATCAGGCAATTAGTCACAGAGTTAGCAACATCAAAGAACACAGAGAGGAGAGGAACACTAGAATCTAGACAAATCACACACTGAAAGGATATTCATGGTATACAACCTCAGCATTTAAGAAAAACTAAGATCGTCTGGCTCCTGCATGTCCCCTCACCCTTCTTTCTAAAATAAAGCAAAAGTGCTGCACAATAACACTGTGGTGGGTCGACCACAGCTAGCAGGTAAGCACCCACACAGCCAGACCCAGTACAAAAAAAAAAAAAAAACCCTAAGAAAAATATCTAAAGTATCCTATAGATTATTTATGTATTTCTGTATCAGCAGAAGGTGACTGCAATTTTTCTCCCTAAACTATTGTACCTCTGTGTATTGTGTAGAGACAAGTTCTGAAACAGTATCTTGATACGTCTTGCATAGCAATGACACTATTGACATCTTCAGGAGTAGGAGTCTCCCAGGAGTACATGACAGAGCAGCTCCCTCCTCCCCCCTAATGCTCCAGAAATAGACAAGCCATTGCTAGAAAGCATTTTTCAGAAAGCAGAGTTTTTAAAATATTTAATAAGGAGAAACAGGAGGGGAAAAGCAACTTAATCCTTTGGTTGAATTTTAGAAGCTTGAAAAGACATGAGCAAGACTGAGAATTGCGAAATGTGTCAATACTTAAGACCAGGATCAAAATGAAAAATGCTTATTACATTAGACAGTTCTTTGTCTAGTTAGTGTGTGAGCGTGTGTATTCCTCAAACTATCTTTAAGTAACAATCCCCCAGGGATATATGCTGTCCTAGCTTTTATAAAAAGAAATCTAGACATAGCTAGGTAAACATATTGAATAAATGTTTTCCGTTTCCTTTCCCCTTACCCTTTTTTAATGCGGCACACTAAAATTTAGCAACACCCAACAAGGAAAGTATGTTTTCCACGAGTCTTTTGCTGCTTCTTGAAAGAAGGAAACTACAGTCCCTTTGGTTTCTGCGTAGCTATCAGGAAGACTGGGGTGGTTGGGGTTTTTTTCGGTTTGTTTTTTTTTTTTTCTTTCTTTTTAAACTGCAGTGATAGCTATGTTCCGCTGGGGCACCTCCGCCGAGCCCCGAGTGACAGGGGGACAGAAGTTCCCCGTCGGCCCATTAGCCAATGTCAACTACACTAATCCGGGGGGCGGCTCTCTCAGACTTTTAAGATGAACAGCATCACGAACAGCATTTATTTTTACTTCATCATGGAGAAAAAAGATTAGAGAAAAGGCATAAAGGGCATTAGTTAGTAGTACCTCCGTTGTTAACAAATACAGAGAACATACATCCTGATTATGTTCTACATGCATTTCTAAATTAAAAGTATAATCTAGATTTAGTGCAGTATTCAAATTGCCTGGAAACTTCTAAGAAGCACAAAACACCTATTAAAAATATATAAAGATCTTCCCCAACACAACAACCCACAACAGAGTATTTCTGCTGTTATCTTGAAACGTCATATATATTTCATGTGTTGAACTACCTCTCCAGAGGGTCTTCAAGTAACGACTGGGCTACAAGATGATTAATAGGCTGAAAAGCCAGCTAACTTTGAGGTTACATGTTGGCACATTCCCCTCCCTACAATTCCGGCATTTCACCGAGGTCAGAGAAAAGCTGTCACAGAAAACGACATCATTTAGGACTGTAACAAAGAACCCTCCCCCCATACTGACATAGCCATAAAAGTCAAACGCGCAAATTAAAAATAAAAATAAATAAATAAAAAAGGGGAGGGGGGGTAAAAAAGAAAGGACTGGGTAACACTCATCTCCTTCAAATGCATCAAATACCACTCGGGAAGTGGGACAGGGGATCCAAATACTTACAAGTCCAACTGAAATACTTCTATCAGAAATAAGAGACCCCCTGCCCGCATCTCACACACCCCTGCCCATGTCTTTCAGTTCATCCTCTGGGTTTTTCCCTCACCGAGATTTCCCCACTGGTCCCGATCAACGATCTTGAACCTCCTACCTCAGCACTTCTTACCAAAGTCCCGGCTGCCGGACCCCCCCCGACACCCCCCGCAGGCCTCCCGTCAAGCGGGAGCGCTCCCCTTGGCGCACTCCCCTCCCCCGCCATGACCTCCCGCGGCCGCCCCGGCCCGCCCCGCTCACCGTTCCTCAGCTCGTGCTTGACGGTGAGGAGAGGCAGCTCCCCCTCCTCCGCCGGGCCCGAGGGTCCCTCCATGGTCTCGCAGGCGGGCGCTCCCGCGCCCGTACCGCTCCCCGTGTGTATGTGTGTCCGTGTGTGTGTGAGCGCGGAGGCGGGGGTATGTCACCTGGCCCGAGGCGGGCTTTATTTTCCAGGGGCGCTCTGGGGGAGAGGGGCCATGCAGGCGCGCTGGGGCGGGGGGCGGCTGTTCTCCCCTCCGCCTTGAAGGGAAAAAAATAAAACCCACACCACCCGAAAACAGTTATTAAAATACAGGGAGGCACACGCACGTCGGCTTCCCTTCCCCGGCCCTCAAAGCCAGCCCATGTCCTTGCGGCTCCCCTCCCCCTTGCTCCGGCCGCCCTCCCCGCCCAACAGGCGGGAGCAGAGCCGCTCCGCGCCCGGCCGAGCCCGGCGCGGCCCAGCCGGGATAGGCTGCGCGAGGCGGCAGGAGGGGGCGCCGGGAGGAGCAGCTCCTACTCAGGCTCTCGCACCCCCTCCCTCACCATGCCGAGCGCTCATTGGGCGAGCGAGCGCCCTCGAACCCCAGCGGCTGTTGGGCAGAGAAACGTTGCACGTACCTCCCCCGCCCTTCCGCCGAGCGGCGCGCTCCCCCATTGGCTCAGCGGCTGCGCTAACCGCTGGCTCCAGCCCTCCGAGTCCCCCTCCTAATTCCTCTACTCCCTCACCTTGTTTGTAAACATTCCCGCCCGCCTCTCCCACCCCCCCTCCCGGCGTGGGGGCGGGCGCTGGGTTGCCTAGAGAGAAGACAAGACGCTGATTGAGCATTGCGACTGGCAATCATCCTGAGGGAGCGGCGATGGGCTTCTGTCGGGTTAGGGGCTGGCTCCATCATCCGGGGATAGGAAGCAGTTGTGCGTATCCTCACTCGCAGTGACAGTAGGGGGTGACTGAGGAGAGCTGTAGTCTGAAGCGGGAGGACGCGACGGCGGCTGGATGGGGGAGCAGGGTAGTCCCTCGCAGAGGGATGCGATGGGGCAAGGAGAAGTGAGGCACAGCCAAAGGGGTTGGGGAGTGTGCTTTCTGTGTCCCCGCTGAGCCTCCGCCTACTGCACTGCGCGGGAGGTGTGTGCAGGCCCACAGCGGTGGCCTCTCTGTGCGGCGCGGCTCGGCTCGGCTCGGCTTGGCTTGGCTCGGCTCGACTCGGCCGCCTCCCTGGGCTGGGGCAGCTGGAGAGCTGCCGCTGTCAGTGCGGCACGTCGGTATGTCCGTCTTTAGGCCAGCGCTCGGCAGTGGGGAACAGTGCCGCGGGTGTGCTGTTAGCGTTCAGCTCTCGCAGGCTCCAGCGCCACAGAGAATAGGGTTGTGGGCGGCAGGGCCAGGGACGGAGGGAGAGCGCAGGCCTCGGACTGAGGGACGCTGAAGGGGCTGGGGGGAGAGAGGCGCGCCGCGTCGCCCCTGGCGCTGCCTACAGCCTTCGCAGGGGCCGGGAGGCCCGGCGGCTGGGGCTGGGGGAGCAGGCGGCATCCGCGGCCTGGCCTTGGGGCGGTGAGCGGGGCCGTCGCCGTGGGAGGGTGGAGGGTCTGAATTTACTGGAAGATAAACTAATCTTTATGATCGCTGAAAGGTCACGAAGCAGAGAGGGGCTTGGTTGGTTATGTTGGCGCAGGACGTGCTAGTTTGGGGTGTTCTGCTTTGGTGTGTTGTGGGGCGGGAGTGGGAGAAGGTGCTGGGCACCCCGAGTGAAGTTGCACTGCTTAGGGCATTTCCCTTTGGTACCATTAGCTGCGTGGGACACACTATCCTCGCAGTGTGTTTTGATTTCGTTTTTAAGGAAGATGTGTTTTGAATCATCTCAGTTAAGCTTCTCAGACTCTTATGTTTTGGAAACACTCTGACATGCCTAAAGCAGTCTACATTTCCTTAAGACATCACACAAGTCACTTCTCTCCATCTCTTAATTTACAGTAATTTCTGCTTTGTTACTTTTGAATGCTGTTTCTTCTTATCTTTTGATACTGTATAGCAAGGTGCTAATTTGCAATGCCATGTCACATACAACAGTTGCGTTCTGATTCTCGTACATCAAACATGAAATAAAATGTCTTCTGTTAGTCTTTTACTCACAGCATTATGTATTTGTGTGTGTGTTCGTACACGTATGTGTAACATGTACATATATATATATATATACACATTTCAATAGTTTCCTGTAGAAAGATAGAATTGAACTATTTAAAGTTGATAAGACATTTCTATTACAGAATTGGGTTTAGGGTGTTTTGGGGATTGGTCTTCTTCACACACAAAGTAAAAATACCTTCCAGGCGTTTCAGAATATTCTCAGTAAAACTTTTGAAGATGTTTTCCATTAAGCAGTGCAAGTGTTCTGTTGAAGTATCTCCCTGTAGCATACAGTACACACATAATTTCACTGGAAGTGTCCATCCAAGCCTTTCTGACAGTATTATGTCAAGACTAAATACAGAAAGTCTGATTAGAGATGTTTTCAAACTGAAAAATAATTGATTGCCTGGCTTTTGTCCTTGATTTTAGAAGCCTGTCTATTACAGAGATAGTAAATGTTACATCAGCATAATATTAAAATACAAAAGGGAAGATAATAATATTAAAGTGATAAAGTTCACTGTTAAATATTTACATCTTTGTAACTAACGGCTCCTTTGTACACAAAGTGGGAAGCAGCAGTTTTACTTTACAACTTTTTTATTATTCTGTGTCCCTGATGTTACATTTTAGAGAGACTGGTACTGTATTTCATCCAGTGACTCTTATTAGCCTCCACTTTGGACTAATTGTCCCTGGCAGCTTCAGAAGAAACTGAAATTTGACTCCACTATGTTCCTTACTAGCACTCAGTGTAAGTGGAGCCGGCAGTGATTTCACAGTCCTTGCTAATTATTTTGATTCCAGATGTTTATAGCTTGACAGACTTTATATGCTTGTCTTAGGCTGAAACCTCTTTGTTTAAATTTCAGCTAAAACAGCTATAACCCTAAAGCATCAAACCAAAGTTAGTGATCCCTTGTGGTAGCTGCTGACTATGCATATAGCAAGATGGTGGCTACCCTGTATATTTCAGTTTAAATTGTGGCTGGCTGTGGAAAGTACAGTTGCATGAACTAGAAGTTCATTGTTAACACTGAGGGACCCAATGATTTTCTTGTGTCTTGGAAAGAGTAACTGGGCAACATGGTCATCTCTCCAGTGTTAAAATAGGTTTTGCAGTGGGTGTCATATCCAGGAGTGAAGCAACCCTACTGAATGCTTGGAAAGAATCCCACCTTTTGACAGACAAAAGAGCTATACTTGCACTGAAATACTAAACCTCCTGTCAGTAGTCCATTAGTACAGGACTATGCTCAAGCTTTCATTTAAACTGAACTTTTGGGAGCAATGGAGAATTAAATTTGATTGCTTGATTTAAGAGTGGACCTACCTTCAGTGGAATGGTCTAGGCTAGTTTCATTACCTCTGTCACCTTTGTCTTTGACGCAGTATCACGTGGCTTTGTGAATGGTTGTAAGAGAATACAGTTTTGTCAGCCTTAAAGGTAGGTAGGATTTACAGGTAGGTGGAAACATACAGGCTACATCTGTACCAGAAAATAAAGATTAGGACTTGTTCTTTATGTGTCAGTGCAAGTGACATGACATAGCATGGCATTGCTTGCATGTAGACAGCAAAATTCTTTCCCCTTCAAAACGGTGTCCTTTTCCATATTACCTGCTAGATTTATACGGGTTGCAGTGTGTTACTAAGTTATGCCAGCCCCCAGCTTTTACAAAGACATTGCCTGGGAGAGTACTAGTCAGAGGCCCAACCATTCTGGAAAGCATGCCAGCAGTCAGAATTATGGATAGTCATGTGCCAGCGCTCAAATTCTGCCTTTGTCCCATTTAAATCACTATCACACACAGTCACAGAGTCAGATGAGGGAGGAAATTTGGCCTGAGCCTGCAGCCAAAGCAGGCATGTGAAAATACAGCAGTGATGGGCTACAGACCCACAGGGAGTACAGAATGGTCTGTAAAATACTCCTTTATAGTTTGGAGAAGTAAAACCACCCTTGTTATGTAAACTGTTCTGGAAGCGCAGCTCTGAGTACAATTTACCTGACTGAAAATGTTATTTGCATTTTAAATATTCATTTATGTATGTGCTATGACACTAAAAAAAAATACTGTTTGCATGATATGCATTCAATAAATTACCTCTCCAATGAAAAGGAAAAATATTTTATGTAAAAAAGGATTTAATACTATGGGGTGATCCAGAGCCACTTTCCCTTCATAGTGTAAATGTATTTTTATTTTTAAGTAGCATTTTTGTATTCATGTATATAATAAGAGCAGCCTGACAAGTCAATCAACCAACAGTTCAGTGTTTGGGCTGAGTGTGTGCTGCAAGTTTTGGAACATGGAATAACAGAATTCTAAAGATAGATGTCCCTGCTCTACCCCACAACGCAACTGTTCAAAAATATGTGTATTTACTTGCCATTCCTAATTGTGAAGAGAGGGAGGAAAAAATGTTGCAGGAAATATCCACGTGGAATGATATTATTGAACTTCATTTAAGAAAAAGTGTCACAACATTTCCTTTCTAGCTGTAAAAGAGATGGTGTGCCAAGCTGGTTTGAGGGCTGAGGTGAAATTGAAGTGCTCTGTGTGAAGACTTCTAGTGGAAAAGAGAGAGAGAAGAAAATGAGTGCTGTAGCTGCTTACTTCCAGGATGTAACTGCTTTACAGTTTTGAGGTACTTGATTTACTTTCTTTCTGAAGGGGAGCTGCTTATGAAAAATGTAGTTTCCATGGGGCTAAAGTTGGAGGTGTCTGGGGCTTCCTTGTGGTCATTGAAGTTACTTTCAAAGTACAAATGTTGCAAAGCCCAATGATACAAAATGTTCCCCTTAATCACTCCACAGAGAACATTTGCTCAGCAGGGGAAAAAGAGGATCAAATTTTGGAAAGCGCAAAATTACTTTAAGGAAGAGCTCCCCTTGAAAGACAGTCATGACATGAAACAGCTTTTGTGTGAGGTTTTAGTACAGTATTAGTTCTGGCTTCTAGTTTACATGTGTTCTCTGTGTTTGGTTGGTTGTTGTTTTGTTGTTTAGTTTTAATCTGCAGTTGAATATTTTGTGCTTGGTAACTGTCAGGAAAGTAGACTGGGTAGGTAAATTTGCTGTTTAAAGCATTTTTGCATGAAATTGTTCTGGCCAACAGTTTCATCTGCCTAAATCCGCTTATGTCTTACCATGAAAGGAGAAGTTATGCTAAGCATCTAAGCCCAATAATTCTCTTAACAGAAGTGGTACAGCTCTGTCAGGAAATGGATCATTTCTTGAAAGAGAGCACATAAGTGAAGATGTATTACTGATTCTAGGGACACATCTTTGATCAAACCTAAGTCCTGTTTCAGTTACTGTTCATTTCTTTGCTAAAAATTCATTTGTTTGTCTTTTCTTCAGTTACAGTAGTTACAACTAGTATTCCAAGCAGCACAAAAAGTTTAA